GGAAAGGTATCAAAGAAGCATTGACTTCAACATGTCAAGAGGTTCTGAGCCCCAAGAAGCATCATCACAAGGAATGGATCTCTATAGAAACACTGGACAGGATCAAAGAAAGGAAGAACAAAAAGACGGCAACTAACAACAGCCGAACACGAGCAGAGAAAGTTCAAGCAAAAGCTGAGTACATGGAAGCAAACAAGCAAGTGAAGAAGAGCATTAGAGCCGACAAGCAAAAATACGTGGAAGAACTAGCAACGACAGCGGAAAAAGCTGAAAGAGAAGGGAATATGAAACAGCTTTACGATACAACGAAGAAAGTAGCAGGGAAATATAGTAAACCAGATAGACCCGTCAAAGACAAAGAAGGCAGGCCAACCACTGAGATTCAACAACAGCGGAACAGATGGGCAGAGTACTTCGAGGAACTCCTAAATGGGCCGGCTCCAATGAATCCACCGGACATCGAAGCAGCACACACAGATCTTCCTATAGATGTCAATCCACCAACGACGGAAGAAATCAGAATGTCCATCAGACAAATCAAGACCGGGAATTCAGCAGGACTCGACAATATACTAGCTGAAGTACTGAAGTCAGACATCAAAGTGACTACAAGCATGCTTTATCTTCTATTCAAGAAGATTTCGCAGGAGGAACAAGTGCCGACTGGACTTGACCGGAAAGAAGGACACCTCATCAAGATTCCAAAGAAAGGAGATCTGAGCAAGTGTGAAACCTACAGAGGCATTACACAACTGTCAGTACCAGAAAAAGTCTTTAACAGAGTGTTGCTAAACCGTATGAAAGACGCAGTAGACGCTTAACTTCGAGATCAACAAGCTGGATTCCGTAAGACCACATTGCGACACTACGTATAGTCGTCGGAAAACCCACTGAGTGGATGTCGTCACTGTACATCAACTTCATTGATTATGAAAAGGCACTTGACAGTGTAGATAAGAGAACGTTATGGAAACTTCTCCGACACTACGGAGTTCCTGAGAAGATTGTCAACATTATCATGAACTCATACGACGGACTACAGTGCAAACTAGTGCATAGAGAAGGCCTGACAGACGCATTCCAAGTAAGGGCCGGAGTAAGACAAGGTTGTCAACTCTCTCCTTCCACCATCAAGAAGGTACTAGTATTCATCGATAGTTGTCTACGCAACATACTCAACATTCATTGGCCGGATACCATTAGCAACAGTCTTTTGCGGGAGAGAACAAACCAGCTTCCACCTGAAGAGGAAATCAGGAAAAGACTATGGAAATGGATAGGACATACATTACGCAAATCATCAAACTGCACCACGAAACAAGCGTTAACTTGGAATCCTGAAGGTAAGCGGAAAAGAGGAAGGCCAAATAGCACATTACGCAGAAGCGGACATGAAAAGGATGTATAAGAACTGGAAGGAGCTTTGAAGGATTGCACAGGATAGGATGGCGAATGCTGGTGAGCGGCCTATGCTCTCTCACGAGGAGCAACAGGCGTAAGTAAGCAAGTATGCAAAATGATATTAATTCAATGTGAATTTCGACACATGTTTAAATACGAGCTTACCAATGCATGACATATTTCGTGTTTCGTTATTCCTTCTAGCAGATATTCATCTGCTTCAAGAATTCTATCCTCCGATCTGCAGTAATTCACTATACCTAAATTAGGCCTAAATATGAGCGACAAATTAAATTGATTAGCTCTTATTTCATTGTATTCCAAGGTAACATTTATCTTGTATAAAATAATATAAAAGGTGTCTCTAATAAATTTTTATGTTAGAACATCGTCATTAAAATTTGGAAAATATGTTGCTTAACTAATCGAAATGGAATGCATTTGATAACACATTGAAACTTTCTGTCGAAAAAGAATTAAAAATTTATCTAAGTTCAGTACAAATACCACTTAATCAGTAGAGAGTATGGAAGTATTATTATGCTGCATTACCTATATATTTAATCACTTACGCCTGATACCAGTCATGAAATAGTTAGTGCACCCATCAGCATTCACCATCCAACCGTGTTCTAAGCAATCCTACCCAGTTCTTTCCAGTCACTGTCGAATATTTACCTGTATGCTTACAATAAACAACGCACTGTGTTTTTGGGTCTCCCAATTTTTCCCTCCCCTTCACGATTCCAAGTTAGCGCTTGCTTCGTGATGCCGTCTGATTTCCACAATGCATGTCCAATCCACTTCTAACGTCATTTCCTAATTTACTCTTCATCTGGTAGCTGGTTTGTTCGATCGAACTCTGTCGTCAACAATCCTTTCCAGTTGCTATTCATCCTTCAATTTTCTGCTTCCGATTCTCCACACAGCAAGTTGATGGTTCTCCCGCTTTTCCGTTCCTCTTCACAATTTCAAATAGGCACTTGCTTCGTGATTCAGTCTGATGGTTTCCGCAATGTATATGTTATCTACTTCCATCATCTCCTAATTTCCTCTTCATCTGTTAGCTGGTTTGTTCTCCCACACAGTAGGATGTTGTTGACGGTGTCTGTTCAATTGTCATTTAGTATCTTGAGTAGATAATTGTTAAGGCGTACTTGTGACAAACTGATAAAGATTTTAGTAGTTCTCCAGCTTTCAGCTCCATATAGTAGAACAGTCTTGAAGTTCGTATTGAAGATTTCAAACTTACTATAAGTTGACAGTTGTTTTGAGTTACATATGTCACTTAATTGTGAGGATACGACGCTTGTATAGCTAATGTTTGCATTTCGGTATGCATCGGACCCTCCTTCTTTCTCGATGATGCTGTCCAGATGATGAAATCTTTTATATCTTCCAGAGTTTGTTCATCAAGTGTGATTGTGTTGGTGTTCTGCATGTTGTATTTGAGGATGTTGCATTTTCGCATGTGTATGTTGAGGCCTACTGATGGAGTGGTTACTGTTACAGTAGTTGTCTTCATTTTCATTTGTTGATGTTTATGCAGTCGGAGAGTTGGGTCGTCTGTGAAGACCAAATCTTCTGATTGAAATCGAGCTGTTCTTTGTAGTCCGTGCTTTCCCCCAGTTATGGAGGTCTTCATAATCCAGTTGACCACCAGAAGAAAGAGCAACAGTGAGTGTTTTGAGCTTATCCTGACTTTAGTGATCACTTGGAATGTATCTGTCATCCATCTTCCATGGACCACTTCACACTTTATTACGTCATATGAATTTCGGATGACGTTGGCGATTTTGTCACGCACTCACTGCATAGTTTTTAAGGGAGTTTCATAATATTCTTCCATCCACAATGTCGTATGCCTTCTCACAGTCAGTGAAGTTGATGTATAGTGACGAGTTGCATTCAATCGATTGTTCAGAGATGATCCGTTCTCTTGCGATACGGGCTGTTCACGACCGATAGTTACTGAGTCCGATCTGTTGATGTCGATGTTGAGCGTCTGCCGAATCTTTCGTCCGTTAAGACAACATCATGTTGAATATTTTTCACTGTACTGACAATAATGTGATGCCTTTGTCAATCTCACAATTGACCACATCTTCTTAATCTGGTATCTTGATGATGTGTCTTTCTTTCCAGACGGTGGACAATTGTTCTTCCTTCCACATTTCTCTGAAAACAGTGTGTAACATGTTTGCAGTTGCTGCTGAGTGTGATTTCAGTACACTAGGTGGTATATTGTCAGGTTGTGTTGCTTTCCTACTCTTCATTTACTTGATGATCATCCTCAATTCTTCTGTCTTTGGTGAAGTGACATCTGTGGGAAGGTCTGTGAGTGGTGCTTCGATGTGTGATGGACTCAGTGGAGCTGGTCAATTCAAGTGTTCATCGTTGTACTCTGCCCACATGTTCCTCTGTTCTTAAATCTAAGTGATTGGCATACCTTCTTTGTCCTTGACCTATCTCTCTATTTCACTACATTTCCCTACTAGTTTCTCCGTCATATCACATAGTTGTCTGATATTTCCTCCTCTTTCAGCTTTCTCCACTGTCATCAATACCTCTTCTACGCATTTGTTCTGTACATATTATGATATTATTTATATCAAATTGATCATGTCTGTAAACTGGCGTGAATTCTGTAATTATCATTTTTTTCAGAATATAAATTTAAACATTTCTGCTTGCTGGCTCTAATGCTCCTCTTCACTTGCTGGGCTGCTTCTGAGTATTCAGCTTGTGCCTTGAGTTTCTCTGCTCATGTTTGGCTGTTCTCAATTGCTGTCTTCTTGTTCTTCATTTCTTAAATCTCGTTCAGGGCTCCGATGGAGATCCACTGCTCATGGCTGTTGGTGCTTGTTACAGATCTGAACCTTCTGACTTGTTGGAGTTATTGCTTCTTTGATGCCTTTCCTGTTGTCTTCCATCTTATTTTCTTCTTCTTTTGGTAGGTCACGTAATGTTTGGAACCTGTTGTTAAGAGTTATCTTGAATTGATTGAGTCTGTGAGTGTCGTGTAGGAAGGCTGTATTGGAAATTTGTGATGCTGTTCCCCCAGTTGTCCACTGATTCTTTCGTTTCAGTTTGATCTTGGAAACCACCACGTGGCAGCATGAAGCCAATTCAGCTCCTCTTCTGGTTCCCACATCCTCCATTAACTTTGTGGATTTTTATGTTGATACAAATATTATCGATCTAATCCACCGTGTTGTGATCCGATGAGATGCATTTAGCTATTTGTGTGAATATTGTGCCACCTATAGCCCATTTTTTCATGCAAGTAGATTTGTAAATCTTTTGCCGTTCTCATTTCTTTCCGGCAGTCGATGACGTCACACGATAACTTCATATCCGGTGTTGTGCACCCCGACTTCAACGTTCAGGTCACCCAGCACAATGGTCAGGTTCTTTACTGAGCACTTCACTGTCAATGATTGAAAAATCTCATTGAACTGATTTCAATTGTCGTCGTTGTATAATAATTTCAGTTGACGTTTCCACATCTCCGTGTGTGTATTCAGCTGTCTTACAAACGTAGTACGCATAAAAAACATTCACAGGATCAAACAACATAACAAACGGAACTAACTTACCTTGAAGTACCCGGATCTTGACTGCAATATGTAGCCCAGGCAACTGTAGTATCGCTACACGATTCAATATTATAATTACTCACAAGTAATACAAATTCATTCGGAGCTATTCCTTCTCCTGCAGAATAGATCATTTGATTCTGAGCATATTTTCGAACATGACACGCCTATACATAATAAAATATGTCGAAACGTGTAATCATCTCATCAAATCAGTATGAAAACTTTGATTATCAAGTTCAACAAAATGTTTGTATGGCGCAAATGTAAATAAGTAACTACAAATGATCAAAATTACTCAATAGAAACTATCCATTTGCAAGATGCTTTGATCCGGGACGTGCTCAAAATAAAGACTTTAATTATGAACAAATGGACAAGTAGAATTACTTAAAACTAGAAGGTGCTAGACATCAGCTCTGTTTCTGCTGTGCTAGCTTCTCAATTTAGCTCTCACTATAATAGACAGGACCAGCTTTCAGACTAAATCATGAATACATTGTTATGAATTCGAAGCTGTGCTACTCGCGCATTCTAGTGTTAATCATCTAAAAGTGGATTTGTAAATATCTTCTGTCGTTGCTTCGCACCCACTCAATTCTCCTCTTCACAGTTATTATTCAATGAATGGAATGTAGTGTTTAATCTTTGCGATAATTCTTAGGGTCTCGTATTATCAATAATCCCAATAACCATCATCAAATTAATCCCAACTTTGTATACATTTCACGACACAATGCAAAGCCACAAGCACACAAGGCGAATTCGAATACAAGTGCCAAAGCTGGCAAGTGAACAAATGCAGAGCAGAGGCAGGAGTCAAATAAATTGACGTGATTCAAGCGTATAAATACATGGAAGCAAATGATTCATCGAGCGATTTGAGCAACTAGCAATAAAGCTAGTAAGAGGGCCACGTATGTTCGTTATAACATTCACTTGAGCACACGTGATCATGCCGATATGATACAAAGATGTAGATAAATTATTGGTGGTCGACGAGATTTACATCAACACGAAGGTATATTCCTCCGAATATCATGTATAAAATAAATTAGACAAGCTATTGTTTGGGGATGTCAGTCCTTCGCCCATGTTTGCATGGTAGATGGATTGTCCGTCGTAATCAGATAGCCAATAACTCATGATCATGAAACACTACGTGTCTTCTATCAACGAAGCACATGGTTCTATCTTTGACAGAAGATCGAATAAAGAGCAATCGCCATTTGCTATTGTCAGGAGCTACAATTTTTGTCTTAAACGATTTCGTTTTAGAAGCGTATGGTAAACAAGTCGTTGAGATTAGTTAATTTTTTCAAATTTTAACCACCACGGTAAGGGAAACTCTGTCAACGGAAATGTTGTAAGCAATAAAATTTTAAATTTTTACTTCCGTTTGGATTTGAAATTGTTCAGACTATCGTAACGGTGTTGCATTTTGATATGATGTAATTTAGACTAAAACGTCTGATAGAAGGATGCCTTTTTCTCCCAATCTCGATTAACAATAAAACAAATTATGATAATGATTGCAAAATGTATAACAAAAGCTCCAGTAACACTGGCTCCAAACTTTGCAGATGTTACTGAAGATTCGGCAGTTCTGTGGTATGAGTACTGTCGAGATATACGTGCAGTGAAGATGACAAGCTTGAATCAGTCGTTTGGAGGAATCGGAAATTTCGTTGAAATTAATGAATCAGTCAATAAAGAAAGAATCGTTAAAGAAGACGACGTGAGTAGCACGTCCTTAAGTATACTTATCAGGTCTTTGGTATTTATGATATATCCTCTCAGAGAAGACACTTCCAGTGCAAGAAAAACCGGAAGGCTACAATGAATATGTGAATTGGATACTAAAATACGGATGATTGGAGAGCAAATGTATTCCTATTTAGACTTCTTCACCAACATCGTAGAGGTTCTTTCTAACCCTGAACTCTTTTTAAACTAATTTAAAGAAGTGCATCTACTGTAGACTTTTGGTTTTGTATAATGTATTCTTATTTCATACTGAATGTTTTCTGTTCACATGAAATTTATCAAGGTCACTTAAGATTCCTTCAAAAGTACTGAAAATAAATCAGTCTCAAAGTTCAGCCAATGATCACAATAAAATAGATTGTGTAACTCAATATAATAGGTAAGAAGTACAAATCGACTGTGTGACGACCAGTGTGCCGATGTATTTAAGGGCAATAAAGGCTAGAATAAACGGTGCAAAATAAAACAAAATTTGAAAAAGTGATGATTAAGTTAGAAATATCACATCATATGGAAAGTCACATTTCTACTTCCATTCACTTACTGATAAATATTTATCAGGAATTTTCGTTTTATAGCATGTTTCACTTTCTCTACATTGATCTCTTCTACAGTATGGTACGTTTTCATATGGATTTTGTACTATTGAAGTGGATTTACATGTTCTAAAAGACACATGAATCGATTTTAATAAAATCAATCTATTCGAATTATCTAGGGGTTTGATAACTAGTTTCTCGGCTTTCATGATAGCAATTGAGATAACATTTGTGACATTTATATGATGAAAATGTTTTTGACTCTACAAAATATTTTCATCAAGTAAGAAAAGATGAATATTGGTTAGCAGTGGAATCCGGGATGCGCGCTTCGCCCTATTTAGGACTCGTCAGCTGAATGTACCTGCATCTCAGACTTGATGTTCACTCGTAGACACGAGACAAGTACCGTTTGCATCAAACGTCATTGCGTTATTCACTTAGCTACTGAGTCCTGATAGCCACATGTTTGTGCAATAGAGTGAAGTTTAAATTCTTATGATATTGCTTAATTTCATTTTCTCATTGATGTGTAGAATTGGAGTCGATCAGCCTCCGATTGGCAGATTTGCATACTGTGCGTGGGTCCGGACCTCAGAGTGAACATCAACTCCGAGATGCAAGTACATTCAGCTGACTAGTCCCAAATAGAACGAAACGCGCGTCCTATATTCCACTGTCAGGCACTATCCATCTCTGCTTAGAATGTTGGTGACTTAAGGCAATATCTAAGCAATACGCACAATGTGCACATGCACTTACAAGAGACTGATCAATTGCAATCCTAAACATCAATCTCAAGATTCAAGGGAACAATACCAAGTGAATTTATTCAAATCATGATTCATCATTCCTATTTGATTTTTAATATTTTGCTATCAGTATTGAAATCTAGTTAAAAGTAATGTCGATTCTACCTACTTGCTTAAGTAAAGAAACAGGCAAACACCAGATTGCATTAATATAATAAGCGAAATCGATCTTCAGTGATGAAACGATTTCCTAAGAACAGTGATATTTAGAAAAACGAGTGCTAAATATCAGACACTGAACATTGGCCAGTACACTTATTGTATGTTGATCAATGAATGTCTAAACTCCACAATATCAGATCATTAAATAAAATACACTATTTCGAAGCTGAGCTGATTATTCATACGCACTCAGTTGAAAAAGTGCCTATTACTGAGCAAATGTAAATAGGTCGTTTTTAGAACATGAAAATAAAGCAATATCTATTCCTCACCGACATACAATCGCAAGTATAAGCCATGTAATCATCTTTGACAGTTATAACAAGATTATTTGTACCACAGATAAAAGCCATGTTCACATTAGTTTCAATTTGTCTCAAACATTAGCAGTAGTGATGTAGTTTCTTAAAGACTAGAAATCAGTAGTAAATCATTTGATCTATAAAAACTGCAAGGTAACTAAGACTGAATAACGATAATGTCATTTACAAGTTAACTGGTTTATCTCTAGTTTAGCACTATATGTGAAATATTACTTACCTTTGAACAACTACATTTTCAGGCTTTTTCACCTCAACAATTAGAGCTTTCTCCCAGAATTTGGCAGCAGCCTCAACTGCTCTCTATTACGAAAAATTGAAACATGTCATTTAGTTAGTTGAGAAATATTAATGTGGAATGGATAGATTCCAAGACGCTTAACCACTAGAACACTGAGCCGGTTGACATCCAATCAAGTTAATGTTTAACTTCAACTAATCCGCGAGATTGAACGACACATCCACCATTATCTTCAGTGAACTATCAGCTCACAACAGACCTGATTGAACTCCGCTGGTCGTTGAATATCACTTAAACTCCAGGAAATACCTCTTGACTCCAGTCATTAGTGAATTTATGCGTTAGTGAGCGAGACCAATAGGTAGTGGGTTTGAAACCTCGCGAGTCGGGATCGTGGATGTGCACTTCTAAGGAGTCCCGCAGTAGGATGAGTTCGCCGTCCAATACTTCCAGCTTTTCCATGATAGTCTAGCTTCAATTGATTCATGATTTCAATTGTCAATTACAATTGTTAATAATGAAATAGTTGATATTTACTTCTAATTTGAATAAGGTAATATATTCAATGAAATTGTGAGACTACTGATCACAATAAATATGGATAACATGAAGTACATACACCTCAGTCCTACAGTATATCATTCGCGGTCCGTATAGCTCAGTGTGAATGTCTCTGACTGTGAAGCTGTGTGACATGAGATCGAATCTGTTAGAGAGCATCTGTTCCATTGAGATTACAGATACACCTCGCTGGTGAGTACCAATTAACACGAAACCTAGGTTCAGCATTTCCTGTTGACTACATTCAATCATCATCTTATTTGTAATATCGTTTAGTTGATCTGTTATTTTCTTTCCAACTGCTTCAAAGTACAAACTACAACCAATTAAACTTCAAATGACTTGTATTCCAAACATCATAACATTTTGATATTTTGATCTATTTAAAATTTAAGTAACCTAAGAAAACACTATCATATCTCTTAGTTTAGTGTATAAATATAGATAGTGTTTTGTGAACTTCCATTCACTTAATAACCTATACAATAACTCATGTATAGATTGTATATTCTTTTTCTTATATCTTATAATCAATCAGTAGACTAGTATTGTTTTCATTCTTTAGGTACTACTACTACTACTACTACTACTAGCATGATTCGTTGTTTCTTTACAACCCTATTTCATTAATGCAATGTAAGATAATGAACAAATCTATCAATATAACATGTTTATAAAGATTCACATGGAATGTACTATTTTCCTTATTGTTTAAATTCATTTAAATATACTGAAACTCACTTTGATTTTTTGATATGCCTTACTCATTACAACATTTTTATCATAAACTGGTGTAATTTTCAAATTCAGACGATTTGATGATCGTTTAACAATATTTTGTGAATAGATACTATCACTCTGAAACAATAAATATATACTATTCATTATTCATATGTTTGATAACTTGCCAGTTTTTGATTCTCAACAATAGAACAAACATGTTCACATTTCAATAATTTAAACAATACTAGGCATATAGAAATGATAGTATAAGTTTTCATGATGAAACTTCTAAAGATCAACTATGTTATGTGTAACTTCATATGGTTTATATATTATGAAAAGACTGTGAAAAACCCATAAACCTTTCCCTTTTAAAGTACAATACTTCAATATTTTTTTTCCATGACCTCATTATATTATATTTCATTGTAATAGAAATGTAAACTAAACTCAGATAGAGTATACATCCATGTGAACAACATAAGTTCACACCATGTTTAAGTAGTTATTTTTTCATTATTCCCATATTCCGTATTCTTTTGAAAAGATACACTATTTCATGGATCATATTCAGGTTATTATCTTAATTTTAAGCTACGAACGTTTGTTATAATTTCATACTAGAATTTATTTTCTATTAGTTTGTGGAGAAATAGTGCATGTTCTAAATGCGGCTCATCAAGTTTGTAAAGGCTAATCTCTTCTATATCTAACTCCAATAAATAGTATCCCGTTAACTGAGTATTTAATGCAGGCTAAATCTCTTAGTAAAATTATGGATTTGCTAGAGAATAATCAAAAGCCCGAACATCAGTTATAGAGGTAGTTTGTTGTTAAACCAAACACATAGTGAAACCTAGAATGCGTGCGTGTGTGTGAGTGTTAAAAATCCATATATATGTATTTATGAGTGCTAATCAAGTATGGATAAATGATTGATTGTCTGTGTATTATAACCAATGGGAGAATAGATCAAAAATTGACATGTGCTCAATCAGACTAACACAGAAATTTACGTAGTGGACTGAGCGTCTAAATTACAGTGAGCAGATAAATAATACAATAGTTAAATGGGCTCACTACAAATTATTCAGAGAATCTACGTAACACAAGCATTCTTTAGTGTAGAGATTTCAATATTGTTATCACTACTCTCACTCCTATATTCAGAGTTTCTAAAACCCATATATGTCATTATTTTCTTACTTCCCATGGTACAAATAAAGAAAGCTTTCACTGAATAAAAAATATCTGTTAACAATTATTGATATTAACAATACCACATTCCTAGTTTTGTGATTTTAAGCCCGGCTAATTATTATATGATTTATTAGTCAATCGAAATAGGGCTTACTCAAACTTAGTACACCGTCATACTAATGACGTTCAATCGGATGAGCAGCATAGCATCCTTAATTGTCCTTTTTACTTCTAACCATTCCAGTTGAGTGCAGAACGCTAATAACAACCTCTACTATGTGAATCGTTTATTTCAAACATACTTGGTTTATATACCAGCCAAACAAATCGCATCAAACTATAAAACAGGAAATAACATTTGTACAGCCATAAAGTACAGCCAAAAGTGTATAGATCGTATCATAATAGTCTATGGATCAAAATAAAGCTTATACATAATCTAGTTACTGAATATTTATACAATAAGAAGATACCCGCAATTTAATCTTCACTATGAGTTATGAATCTGCTGGTCACCTAAATAGTGATTCTTTTCGATTAGCAAGAACATTTAAATTGGTTCCATATTTAAACTTAGTAGGTATACTTTACCATGGCATTTTAAGTAGTATAAACTGATTATTGTGCTTAGTTAACCATTCACTTATAATGTGAATAAGATTGAGGTGATCTAATATCTCAAACATTTTCTTAACATACTGTGGACTATAAGACTTAACGGACTCCCTTTACGTCGATATTCGTTTTGATGAAATGCCTATGTTAAGCAATGTTTGGACTTATCCAAATTGATTCTGACCATTTCCTTTAGGAAGATGGGCCGGTGAATAACATAAAAAACTAAAACCATCGTCTGTACTAATGAAAAGGGATAGTAATATTCATAGATTAGGTGACCCTTATCCATACACATATTTCCCACTAACGAAGGTTAATATCAGTTAAACACAATTCATTTGAATAGCTTCATGAGATTAGTTAAACTCCCATGTATACATACTTTCATCACTAAAAGCTTATTCTTGACTTTTTGTATGAACTTGGCAACAATCAACAACTTTTCAATCGATATATTTAGTTCGCTTGTTGGGACTTGTTGTTTATGTGACTAGGAAGAAGCCATCGATATGGTATTTTCGTAACCACTGCAAGTATTGTTTGCATTATTTCTGTGTTTTGATATATACTTCCTTGTGAAGTTACTGCGATACGTGAATGCCAATGGTGTTTATATTGGTTTTTCAGTTGTCATTTTCAGACCATTCACATAACCTCCAAGTTTGATCTCGTGGGTAAGACAGTTAGGAAGGCACATAAAACTCCAAAGTTCTTCGAAAAAGGATAACATTTATTTTTTCCTAATGTATTTCTTTGCATAGACCTATCGAATCTTTTGTATAATGTTTAATTTAATGATGAAATTGAGCAAATATATTCACGACCATAGTGTGTTTTAAGAATGCGTGCGTGTGTGTGAGTGTTAAAAATCCATATATATGTATTTATGAGTGCTAATCAAGTATGGATAAATGATTGATTGTCTGTGTATTATAACCAATGGGAGAATAGATCAAAAATTGACATGTGCTCAATCAGACTAACACAGAAATTTACGTAGTGGACTGAGCGTCTAAATTACAGTGAGCAGATAAATAATACAATAGTTAAATGGGCTCACTACAAATTATTCAGAGAATCTACGTAACACAAGCATTCTTTAGTGTAGAGATTTCAATATTGTTATCACTACTCTCACTCCTATATTCAGAGTTTCTAAAACCCATATATGTCATTATTTTCTTACTTCCCATGGTACAAATAAAGAAAGCTTTCACTGAATAAAAAATATCTGTTAACAATTATTGATATTAACAATACCACATTCCTAGTTTTGTGATTTTAAGCCCGGCTAATTATTACATGATTTATTAGTCAATCGAAATAGGGCTTACTCAAACTTAGTACACCGTCATACTAATGACGTTTAATCGGATGAGCAGCATAGCATCCTTAATTGTCCTTTTTACTTCTAACCCTTCCAGTTGAGTGCAGAACGCTAATAACAACCTCTACTATGTGAATCGTTTATTTCAAACATACTTGGTCAACGGCTCCTGCTCTTGTTACATTGTTGTAAGGAAAAGGCTCAAGAGGCCATAGGAAAATGCATAACGCTTCCACGATCATCAGGTTATCATAGAACTTTGATATACTGAAACGGTTGTTTGGTAGAACACACGAGGTAATTCGGGCTTTGCTGAAAGATTTAACTGAAGGTCCCAATATAGAGTACAACGACGGAAAAAGTCTATCTAGGTCAGCAATTAAAGTGGAAAGTTGTTCTATAGCCTTGGAACAAACGGATTATTCAGCGTGTCTCATCACTGTAGAAACTATAGAAAGTATATAAAGGAAGTTGCCCACCGCATTGCGGATGAAATGGGCTGAAACATTCGAAAACGTAACAACAAATGGGAGAGAGCCTACATTTGCCGAGTTAACAGGATTTGTACCAGCTAGAGCAGAAATATTACTCAGTAGGTTTGAGCAGATCGCAACAACCAGTAAACGAGTTGTGAGCAGGGTAGCGTGTTCCATACAAGGGGTGTCGTCCTGTAAAATTGTAAGCAGGTCACATGGATGATAAATGTTCCCAATGCTCCACATTATCAGTGAACGGTATGTGGATGAAAGCTGAAGAAAACGGCCTGTGTTTTTACTGTCTTAGAAGAGGTCACAGATCAGTGGATTGTAAAGATCGTGTTGTGTGTACTATCGAACGTTGCCGGGATCGGCATCACCTGTTGTGGTATAAAGCGATTAAAGTTCTGAGCGCTTTGAGTGAGCATTTAGAAGGAAATGATTGTGGATTTGTAGAGTCATTAGTGGAGGATGTGTCTCTTGGCTTAATCCCTGACGTCTTAGAGCTGGGGATAAGGAAGTATGTGGATATGCGTTTCCAGACAATGGTTCGGATACAACCCTAATCAAGTGAAGCGCCGTAAGACTTTTAGGTTTATCGTCAGAGAGTGCGTCAATTACCATCAAAGCAGTAAACGCGAACAAGTTAACCAGATCGACAATCAAAGCTCCTAAAGCCTACTCATTAAATCAAAACGAATGTATATGTATTGGACAGGCTGTTGCGGTAGATGATTTGCCGATGCATAGACCAAGAATACCCGTGAAGAACAGTGTTAAAAAATGGTCCCATCTTATTGATTTATTTTGGACAGAATTGGTGGGTGGTGAAGTTATGTTGTTTATTGATTGTGACGTGCCCGAAGTGCATTGGACCCTGAATCAAAGGTTAGGTGAAAGGAAACGTCCTTATGTTGTTAGAATGCTGCTAGGATGGGTTCTTTTTGTACCAACAGGTCACAACAAACATGAGAAAAGGGTTGCAAATTGTATTTCCCAAATTTGTGTCTTTGTGAATCAGAATTATGAGTTTGCTGACGACTATTTCTTTGATAAATCATTATCTTTGAATTATTTAAACGTAAGTAGCATAGTAGGGCATGACGCTTACTTTGATGAGAGTTATAAATTGTTCCCTTACCTAGAGAAGTGGCCGAGGAAGACATTTCTGTTCTTGTTGTCGGCAATGGGTCTGGTATGTGCAGAGCTGGCTTCGCCGAAGATGATGCTCCCAGAGCCGTGTTCCCCTCTATCGTTGGAAGTGATTGTGGAAATGGATCAAAAGCTCAGTCATGTGGGAGACGATGCTCGATCGCAACGTGGTATCCTGACACTGAAGAACCAAATTGAACACGGTATTGTGACTAATTGGGGTGATATGGAGAAGACATTTTACTATGCGTTCTACGACGAGTTGCGAGTGGCAACAGAAGAACATCCATTATTGTTGACAGAAGTTTCATTGAACCTGAAAGCAAACCATGAGATGACACAGATCATGTTTGAGACTTTTAATACACCAGCTATGTATGTTGCTATTC